CTACTAATAATAAAGGTATTAAGATGATATATGCATAGTAATGTGTTTTTTTTTACTTTTCAACGAAATATAAAAGACGAGTATAGAAAGCAATGTACCAAAATGTGCCGAGAATGCAAATAAACTGTAACGCAAGTCATGCACAGGGCTGGAGACATACACTGCCGAAGATAGCTTCTGGGTACCATCTGCAACATCCAACGAAAAGTCACACAAAAAAGAAGAAGAAAATGAAAGAATCGCAGCATCAGCGTAACAGATGTAAACTTGCCCTCGAAGCTTTTTTTGATGGACCAAAAAATATAACTGGTCCGAGACTATACTGTGTGAAATATGCATGATCTTACTTTCGCAAAGAAGTCATTATAAAAAAAGACTTGCTGTCTATGGTAGGAGCAAAGAAAGGTATATTCGGCCTTGAAAAGCAGATACACAGTAAATGTGCTGCAGCGCTGATACTAGTGCACCACGACTGATGGTGTAGTGGGTAGCACATTACGTTTGGATGTGGACGGGAGTTTGGTCCCCTTCTGGTGCAGGACTTTTTTTGAAAAGGGACTCCGTTCACTATACTGAAATAATGTTAGAAGCCGTACGCATCAATGACAGATTTTTCGATGCTGAATTCCATACCCCCAGTCATCTTCAAAATCACACATATTCGATAAGTAAGACTGAACTATACACTGTTTTAATATTAAGGACGTAGTACAAGAACAAACCAATAGCGGCAAAAGACGCGTAGGTATGATCAACGTGAAATGCCGTATAGCACGTAAGTCTAACATCCAGTACACGCACTCCACTCAATTCGATATTCAACGTTAGCGATGGAACTTCTTCCGTAGAATTCTCTGCTTGCTGCAAAATTGTTTGATTGTAAAATGAATGCTACTGTTCCTTTACTCGCGAGCAAACTAATACGATCAAACTTTCAGAAAGGAAGCGGGCATTCTCTGTAGAAGACGGGCACAAACAGAGGTAATTTAACAGAAGAAGGTGTAAAATAGCCAGGTTCAGCATGTCGGCTTAATGAGGAACATTAACTTGAAAGATTTGAGCGCAGCTAAGCCCTCTTGAAAAACAACAGGTTCCAGTGATTTTGGGTGGAACTTACTAAAGCAAAGTCCGGTAAACCCGAATAATCCTAGGATCCTAGATGATAATCCTTCTTGTTCATTATAATTTTTTGCCTTCCATTTCCCAAACTCATTAATTCATTTTCCCATTTTCACAAACAACTCGTAGTTGCAAGAGAGCAGAATTTCGGCCTAATTTTCTAGTATTTACTTCTGTTCTACTTAAAATCCTTCACCGCTAACCTCAGATTCGCAGTCTACAACCTCATCATGCAGACTCAAAGATAATGATTTAAAAGAATCAATAAAACCTGAATTTTTATGTCTCCCAGGCAAGACAAAGCAAACGAAGAATGGAAATGTGAGAAAAACAAAGAAAATGAAAAATTTAAAAAAAACTGAGAAAATTTATGCAAAAAAAGCTATTAAAGGATGTAAATTACCGATTTCATATCCAGGCCATTATAAGCACATTTCAGGGATAGCGTGCTTTTTGAACCTGCAAAAAATTTTACTGCATTTTGAAGCTTTTCAGGATTGCTGTTTCTTTGAGCACTACTATTTTATAACTTAGCTGCTAAGTTCCCACACTTTAGATAGTAAATGCGGTAAAATGATGTTTTATCTTATTGCTTAGCT